GGTCTGCGCGTCGGGGGTGACAGGGACCTGTGTTCCAGGAGCATTTGTGGGAACTGGAAGCCAGGGGAGAGCGGTGGACAGTCAGGGCAGGAAGGACGCTCAGATGACGTGGGCCTGTTTTTTCCAGAGGGAGGGTCTGCGGCCGAGGCGAGGCTGGGGCCTGGGCGGGTGGGGACCCCGCTGCCCCCAGCCAGCTCGCCAGCTCTGCGGACGCCCGAGTTCTGGGTCCGCCTGGTGCTGTAGCGTCAGCCGCTCTCCTTGCCCCAGGCCCCAGCACCGAGCGCCCCTCAGCTGACCGCCCCGAGGAACTGCCCAGAGCATCCCAGTCTCTGCCTTTGTAAGAGTTTTCCATCCGGCGTCCTCTTGTCTACATGCTTTTGTGTCTCTTTAAGGGACTGCGTGAGCCCTTTTCCCATCATGCATTTGTCATCACGTTTCAATACCTGCCCAAATTCCTTCAGTTGCCTGGCCCACGGCCCACGGCAAACTTGGAGCCATTCCTCAGCTGTTAAACGGTTGCATGGATTCCAGCCGGCGCCTGGCTGATCCGTCCCCTAGGCCTCATCTCACTGATTCATGGTGACAGCGTGGGAGATCTGTATGATTGACCCTTTGTTACAGAGGAGGACTCTGAGGCTCAGAGAGGTTCAGTAACTTGCCCCAGGTCACACAGCTGGCCAGCAGCGGCAGTGAAGACCCACAGCCAGGCTTCCTGTCTCTAAAGCCCAGCGCTCACTTATCACCTTATCCTGTAGTTAGCGCTGCGGCTGGCACTGTGTGTGTGGGCTTCTGTGGACGCTCACGGTCGTCTCCTTGACACGGAGCCCCAGAGACAGATGGCTGGGTCAGTGGGCAGGAGCCATTCGCACACGCCTTTGAGGCGGCGCCAAACGGCATTCCAGAAAGTGCCACCGATTGTCTTCCCACCGCGGCCCGCCCCCTCCTGACCGTTTCTCAGAGATGACCATGGTTGACCGCCAAAGGGGGGCCTCCCGGGTCACCCACAGCTCAGAGCCCTTCATGACTCTCAGCTACTTGCTTAGGCAGATGGAATGTAAGGACAGCATATTGCCTTGATGAGGACTTTTCGCAGATGACAGAGGATGAGAGATGGTTGGACGGCTCACCGACTCCATGGACATGAGTTTGAGTAAGCTCCGGGAGTTGGTGATGGACAGGGAAGCCATTGGGGTCGCAGAGAGCCGGACACGACTGAGCGACTGAACCGACTGTATTTGGACTCTATTTTTAGCAGGCAGAGGTCTGGATTTACCGTCTGGCCTTAACCCCAGGCACCTGGGCAGCTACAGTCCGCTCCGCAGCAGAGATGACCCGGGCGGGGGTGGGGGGCGCGTGGCACTATCGGGACCCAGCTCTCAGGGCGGAAAAGCTGCTTTTATTCAGTCTCCTGGTGCCTCCGTGATGTAGACTCAGGTTTAAAGGGGCACTCGATATCCCTCTGCACATTTTTCTCCTTTGAGGAATAGTCAGTGCCGTCATAGCTTTAAGAAGATAGGAAAATGAGCCAAACCCCAGAGCCAAGCGTGTCCGGAGCCAGCCGTCACTCGGGGCTGAATCGCTGCAGGCGGCATCTGCAGATGACAGCAGTTCTCCTGCACAGACCCCGGGGGGCCTGTTCCTCCCAAGTCGGGGTGCAGCTGCAGGGTGCACCGGTGCTGACTGAACAAAGGGGGCTCGCTCTCGCCCGGGAAGGGGGCAGACCCAGAACCGAGTGCTGGTCTCCGACCTCCCGGGTGAGTGACGTCAGTCCAACAATGACCTGGACGGTGTCCCCGCACGACTCGGGGCTCACGTCACGCGCGCTCGTAGGATGCCCTGCGCACTGCTGTCCTCCCAGCTCAGCAGACCCAGCCGAGGACGCGGGGCCCAGAGAGGTCAGGGACCTGCCGAGGGGCACACAGCACGGTGCACGGGGCGAGCCTGCATCACCCAGGCAGCCCCGGCGTCCCGGCTCTCAGCAGCTCAGCTTTATGTCCAAAGAGCCAGCCGCTCCTTGGAGACGTGGAAGGAATGATTTCCAAGCCCGCAGGCGGCTGTGAGCACGGAATGGTACATGCAGCCCTGTGCCCTGGGCGAGGGGATGGGGGACGGGGAGACCCAGGAGAGGCCCACCGCCTCGGCCCGCGTGGGGCTGGGGGCTGAGCTGAGAGGGTCTCTCCCGGCAGGGCCACTGGAGCCCCCAGGTCGCCATGGGAGGGTGTGCCGTGGGCACTGACCAGTCCATGTGCTGAAAGGCGCTGCTGACCGGGCCGAGGAGAACCCGGCCCTGGGGATCCTGAGACCCTCTGGAGATTCCGATTCCCGGAGAGCTCTTCCCGAACCGACCAGCCTGAGGAGCCACCTGCGATGAAGGGAGGCTGCCCGACTGCCCTCGCCTCCCGAAACTGCAGGGCACCAAACAGGGCATATTCAGAGGTCGGGGCTCCCCATCAGACCCCAGGAGCTCCTCTCCCCCGCCACCATCCGTGTCATCAAGACTTGCACTGCAGAAGACTCTTAACCCTCTCCGGGTAGTGATAACCTCCATGTAATAACAACATATGTGTTGCATTCTGATTTTCTGTGTTTATCTTGGCTGTGTGGGTCTTCGTTACTGTGCGGCTCTTCTCTAGTTGTGGCGGGCAGGGCTAGCTGCGGTGTGTGAGCTTCTCATGGCGGTGGTTCTCTTGCTGTGGAGCGCCGGCTTTAGGGCGTGCAGCCTTCAGTACTTGCAGCCCTCAGGCTCAGTAGCTGTGGCACACGGGCCCAGCTGCCCCGCGGCGTGTAGAATTTTCGCGGGACGGAACGTATGTCCCCTACATTGGCAGGTGGATTCTTTACCACTGGACCACCAGGGGGGCCCCATCATATGTGTTGTTCTGATAGCTTTGTACTTGTAATTTTTACTAGTAACTAGCTTTTTACTAGTACTAGTAAAGTAGTACTAGTACTACTTTGTACCAGTAGCTGTAATAACAACCCCATCCAGAATAAGCTATTAAATATTTACAGCCTTGTGACCATAAGAACCTAGACAGCATATTAAAAAGCAGAGACGGAACTTTGCTGACAAAGGTCCGTCTAGTCAAGGCTATGGTTTCCCCAGTAGTCATGTATGGATGTGAGAGTTGGACCATAAAGAAAGCTGAGCGCCAAAGAACTGATGGTTTTGAACTGTGGTGTTAGAGAAGATTCTTGAGAGTCCCTTGGACTGCAAGGAGATCCAACCAGTCCATCCTAAAGGAGATCAGTCCTGGGTGTTCACTGGAAGGACTGATGCTGAAACTGAAGCTCCAAACTTTGGCCACCTGATGCGAAGAACTGATTCATTTGAAAAGACCCTGATGCTGGGAAAGACTGAAGGTGGGAGGAGAAGGGGGATGGCCAGAGGATGAGATGGTTGGATGGCATCACTGACTCAATGGACATGATTCTGAGCAAGCTCCGGGAGTTGGTGATACATAGGGAAGTCTCGCATGCTGCAGTCCATGGGGTCACAAAGAGTTGGACAGGACTGAGCAACTCAACTGAACTGACCATAAGGAAGGGTTTCCCAGGTGGTGCTTGTGGTAGAGAACCTGCCTGCCAATGCAGGAGACACAAAAGATGCTGGTTTGATCCCTGGGTCGGGAAGACCCCCTGGAGGAGGGCATGGCGACCCACTCCAGTATTCTTGCCTGGAGAATGCTATGGACAGAAAAGCCTGGCGGGCTATAGTCCATGGGGTCGCAAAGAGTCAGACACGACTAAAATGACTTAGCAGGTACGCACACAGCATGTCCATAGGAAATTTCTAATAAATCGAGTTCCACGGGGACTGTGGGGTTTTTGTTGTGGAACCAGTGGCGTTTTTCCATCTCAGAAACACCCCTCTTGCAGATGGTTCTGTGGTAGGGGGAGGGATGTAAATTGGCTTTCTAGGCAGAAGGGGGACGAGGTGAAAAGCCTCCTTTTACTCAGAGCCTGGCTCTGGGATTTTAAACAGAGGTCCATGGTCTTGCTTTGGCATCTCCAATCGACTAGTTAAAGTTGCCCATTCTTAGACTTTCCCGGAAGTGATATCCTCTGCGATCAGTTAATCTTTAAACATTTATATGTATTTGGCTGTTGCGGTGTGTGAACTCTTAGCTGTGGGGTGTGGGGTCTAGTTCCCTGAGCAGGGCGCAGACCCAGCCCCCTTGCTCTGGGAGCACTGAGTCTCAGCCGCTGGGCCACCAGGGACGTTCCCTCAGTTAATGTTTCGATGGAAACGTTTACGCATTGATTCGAAGGCGGACTGCAGAGTGTTTTAAGACCCTGGCTTAGGGGCTGCGACGCTTGAAGACCCCAGACGGACCAGATGGCAGGCTGGTCCTCCGCAGGGAGGGGCGTGAAGGCTGCTGCCTCAGGAACCAAGCCTGGCTCCCATGTGCCCTGGGGCCTGTCCTGGGGGAAGGCACCCCCTCCCCACCCCGCCGGGTCTCCCCAGTCCTCCCAGGGCAGGAGGTGTGTGTTAGGGTCAGTGCCTGCGTGCCCGGCCTGTCTCCCTCCCTGCAGGGGTCTGGCCTCATCCACACTGGGGGAGATGTGCGGGGGAGTCAGGAAGCCTCACTGTGGTCTGGGGGTGATCATGTGTCCTTATGGAATCTTCCATCCAGAACAGGGCCTAGCACATCGTAGGTGCCCAGGTACCTGGGACCCGCCTCCCCCATCTGGTATTTCTGTGCTGGGACTGCACAGCTGGAGGGGCTGGGGCTCAAGGAGGCGGGGAGACCCCGGACTGGCCCCCCAGCACGGCCCCGTTCTCTTCCTGGGCGGCTGTCCCTTTCTAGAGGCCTCCACAAGGAGGTCCACCTCGACTCCATGCTGAGGGGCCACAGCTGGAGTCTGAGCCTGGAGCCCGGTGTCCCAGGCGCCCAGCGAGCCAGCCTGGGTTCCCCCCGAGGCTCGTGTGTGGCCCGTCAGGACCTGGGAGCCGGTGGCCACCTGCTCACTTCCGGCTCCGGCGTGTGTGTCCGCAGCATGCGGCTGTGACCTGGCCGAGGGTGGCTTCTTCGTGCGGCAGGGCGAGTACATCTGCACGCAGGGACTACCAGAGGCTGTACGGGAACCCGCTGCTTCAGCTGCGACCGCTTCATCGAGGGCGAGGTGGTGTCGGCTCTGGGCAAGACCTACCACCCGGACCTGCTTCGTGTGCGCTGTCTGCCGGTGAGCGGGGGCCTGCCTCCCTCGTCCCCCTTCCCTCCTCCGTCCATCCTCCCCTCCCTCCCATCCCTCCCTCCTCCTCACTCCCCAAACCAAACTCCCACCATCCCACAACCCACCACCCCAACCTCCTCCCCTCCAACCCACCCAACCACCCTCCTCCTCCTCCCTCCCCCCCCCACCTCCACCCCTCCTCCCCACCCCACCTCCCACCCACCCCACCTCCTCCTCCCCATCCTCCTCCCCCATCCTCCTCCCCACCTCCTCCTCCCCACCACCTCCCACCCCCTCCACCTCCCCATCCTCCTCCCCATCCTCCTCCCCATCACTCCTCCCCATCCACCTCCCCACCACCACCACCCCATCCTCCTCCCATCCTCCTCCCCACCTTCACCTCCCCATCCTCCTCCCCATCCTCCTCCTCCCCATCCTCCTCCCCATCCACCTCCTCCCCCATCCTCCTCCCATCCCTCCTCCTCCCCATCCCCTCCCCCCCAACCACCTCCCCGTCCTTCTCCTCCCCATCCTCCTCCCCATCCTCCTCCCCATCACCTCCTCCCCCACCATCCTCCTCCCGTCCTTCTCCTCCCTTTTCCTTCCCTCCCTCCTCCTTCCCCTCCTCCTCCCCCTCCTGCTCCCCATCCCACCTCCTCCCCATCCTCCTCCCCATCCTCCTCCCCATCCTCCTCCACCATCCTCCTCCCCATCCTCCTCCCCGTCCACCTCCACCCCATCCTCCACCCCACCTCCACCACCCCAACCCCACCCCCATCCACCACCCCCCATCCTCCACCCCATCCACCTCCCCATCCTCCTCCTCCCCATCCACCACCCCACCTCCACCCTCCCCATCCACCTCCCCACCACCTCCCTCCACCACCCCCCCCACCTCCACCCATCCACCTCCTCCCCATCCCCTCCCCATCCACCCCCCATCCCCACCACCCCCATCCTCCACCCCCATCCTCCACCCCATCCTCCTCCCCATCCTCTCCTCCCCATCCTCCACCCCATCCTCCTCCTCCCCAACCCTCCTCCCATCCCCTCCCCATCCTCCTCCCCATCCTCCTCCTCCCCCATCCTCCTCCCCCATCCTCCTCCCCATCCTCCTCCCCATCCTCCTCCTCCCCATCCTCCACCTCCCCATCCTCCTCCCCATCCTCCTCCTCCCCATCCTCCTCCTCCCCATCCTCCTCCCCAACCACCTCCACCCCATCCTCCTCCCCATCCTCCTCCCCAACCTTCTCCTCCCATCCTCCTCCCCATCCTCCTCCTCCCCATCCTCCACCCCCATCCTCCTCCCCATCCTCCTCCCCATCCTCCCTCCCCATCCCCTCCTCCCCACCTCCTCCTCCCATCCTCCTCCCCCTCCTCCTCCCCGTCCTCCTCCCCGCCTTCTCCACCCCATCCTCCACCCCATCCCTCTCATCCTCCCCATCCTCCACCCCATCCTCCACCTCCCAACCTCCACCACATCCTCCTCCCCCCATCCCTCCTCCCCATCCTCCTCCCCATCCCCTCCTCCCCATCCTCCTCCCCATCCTCCTCCCATCCCCCCCGTCCTCTCCTCCCCATCCTCCTCCCCATCCTCCTCCTCCCCATCCTCCTCCCCATCCCTCCTCCTCCCTCTCCCCATCCTCCTCCCCCATCCTCCTCTCCCATCCTCCTCCCATCCTCCTCCCCATCTCCTCCTCCCCATCCTCCTCCCCATCCTCCTCCCATCCCATCCTCCTCCCCATCCTCCGCCCCATCCTCCTCCTCCCCATCCCTCCTCCCCCATCCTCCTCCTCCCCATCCCCTCCCATCCTCCTCCCCCCATCCTCCTCCTCCCCATCCTCCTCCCCATCCTCCTCCCCATCCTCCTCCCCGTCCTTCTCCTCCCCATCCTCCTCCCCGTCCTCCTCCTCCCCATCCTCCTCCCCATCCTCCTCCTCCCCATCCTCCTCCCCATCCTCCTCCTCCCCATCCTCCTCCCCATCCTCCTCCCCATCCTCCTCCTCCCCATCCTCCTCCCCATCCTCCCTCCATCCTCCTCCCCGTCCTTCTCTCCCCATCCTCCTCCTCCCCATCCTCCTCCCCATCCTCCTCCCCGTCCTTCTCCTCCCTTTTCCTTCCCTCCCTCCTCCTTCCCTCCTCCTCCCCCTCCTGCTCCCCATCCTCCTCCTCCCCATCCTCCTCCCCATCCTCCTCCCCATCCTCCTCCTCCCATCCTCCTCCCCATCCTCCTCCTCCCCATCCTCCTCCCCATCCTCCTCCCCGTCCTTCTCCTCCCCATCCTCCTCCCCATCCTCCTCCTCCCCATCCTCCTCCCCATCCTCCTCCTCCCCATCCTCCTCCCCATCCTCCTCCCCATCCTCCTCCCCATCCTCCTCCTCCCCATCCTCCTCCCCATCCTCCTCCCCGTCCTTCTCCTCCCCATCCTCCTCCCCATCCTCCTCCCCATCCTCCTCCTCCCCATCCTCCTCCCCATCCTCCTCCTCCCCATCCTCCTCCCCATCCTCCTCCCCATCCTCCTCCTCCCCATCCTCCTCCCCATCCTCCTCCCCATCCTCCTCCCCGTCCTTCTCCTCCCCATCCTCCTCCTCCCCATCCTCCTCCCCATCCTCCTCCTCCCCATCCTCCTCCCCATCCTCCTCCCCATCCTCCTCCTCCCCATCCTCCTCCCCATCCTCCTCCCCATCCTCCTCCCCGTCCTTCTCCTCCCTTTTCCTTCCCTCCCTCCTCCTTCCCTCCTCCTCCCCCTCCTGCTCCCCATCCTCCTCCTCCTTCCCTCCCTCCTCTTTCTCTCCCTCCTCCTTCTCCTCCTCCCCCCATCCTCCTCCCCATCCTCCTCCTCCCCATCCTCCTCCCCATCCTCCTCCTCCCCATCCTCCTCCCCATCCTCCTCCCCATCCTCCTCCCCATCCTCCTCCTCCCCATCCTCCTCCTCCTTCCTTCCTCCTTCCCTCCTCCTCCCCCTCCTGCTCCCCATCCTCCTCCTCCTTCCCTCCCTCCTCTTTCTCTCCCTCCTCCTCCTTCTCCTCCTCCTCCTCCTTCCCTCCCCCGCCCCCACGTGCAGCCCCAGATACCTGGCTCCCGGGGGAGGTTCCATTTCTAGAAAACAAAGACTCCTCCAGGTTTGTTTTCCCTCTGTTCTCTGCCTCACCCCACCCAGCTGAAAGGGGACTTTTCTGAGTGCTGTTCCTGAAGCCATTTTCTGTAGTTACGGCCTCTGCTCCAGACAGAAATGGGAGCTTTGTGAAGCGGGGGAAGGTGCTGAGCCAGGAAGCCAGGATGACCAGGGCGTTTCTCACAGAGGGTCACTGTGTGTCACGGCAGCCTGCCTGGGTCGTTTCCCGAGGGTGATCTGCATGTTTGATTTCTCTGTGCGTAGCTTAGAGACACAATCACTGTGGGTTTGAAGGGTCACCTCTGTGATCCACCCTTTTAAAAATAACAGCTGACAGCTTTGTGGTTCTGGAGTCACCAGGCCTGGACTTATGCAGCCACTATAAATAACTAGAAAATAAACCAAAAAATAGAGAAAACAGGGGGTACTAGGGCACAGTCAGCCCAGAACTAACAGAGGAGACAAATGCTGGGACCCCGGTGACCACCCAGATTCCACCCGCAGGCTGTTTCTTGAGCCAAGGAGGACATGGCATCCTCCTGGGTCAGGAGACAGACCAGCGTGGCCGAGGGGAGAGGGCTGTGCAGAACAAGAGTGGGAGAATTGTGCAGAGCTGCCTTTGGATCCTGGACCACAATGAACAAAATCCCGAACTTTAAAATAAAGACGGAACCCAACGTGCCGTCTTGCACGCTCCTAGTGGCCGAGCTTTCTGCGGGACCCAGGCAGGAAGGCAAACCACGCAGCGCTGGAGCCAGACAGGCCTAGGTTTGAGTCTGGTTCTGAAAGGCAGCAGCTGTGTGTCCTTGGCAGAGGTAACTGCCTTCTCCAAACTTCAGTTTTCTCGCGGAGAGAGGAACATGAATACCCATGTGGACAAGCATGTTAAGCAGCTATTGGAGGAGGCAGGAGCTAAGGAGTCTGTCATGGAACCTGGCCTGGCAGCAGCAGGTGCTCACTAAATGGTGCTGTTGCCTTGAGTGCTGAAGTGAGCAGCGTCCCGCGTGGTCAGAGGAGGCGGGGTCGGATGCGGGAGGCCACAGCCTAGACTGCCCGGAGGATCAGTGGCTTGCCACGGTGTGTAAGCGCCAGCTGGCCCCCACCGGCCCTCCACACGACCCTGCGGTTCTGTCTGCTGGTGTGATGAGGAGACCGCAGCCAGGTGGTCCAGTGACCAGTCTGAGATCGCCCGGAGGGGCCGCGGCGGCGCCTGCAGGGGGAGGCCCTGCGTCCCGGGCCTGGTCCCCGGGGGAGGTGGCGCGTGGTGTCCAGGGTGGTGCTCCCCCAGGAGAAGAGCCAGGTGGGGGCAGATCCTGGCTGGTAACGCGCTGTCTTGTTTCAGGTCGCCCTTTCCCG